ATCTAAAATAAATATCTCTGAAATTCCTCACACATTTTTTTGGGCGCACGAACAGTCAATTTGTTTACAGCATCCATCGCTATTTTTCTACCGATTTTCGCTTGTATCGCACTCTGATTTTGGTCACTCGAACCAAATACGAAAACTGTGAACCGCGAGCAATCAATCACTTAGATTCCACACCCAATTTGTAAGTGCTAATGATGCCCAAAGTGAGATCGGCTCGCTTGCAATCTGCATTGGGGTCTCTAAAAGGGGTGGCTGTCCAGTCAGTGAATTAACTTACCATCTCGCCAGCGGGGAACTGTGACGAAGAGCCGGTTGCCAAAGTGCTCGACACCCACGGGAAGACCATTCTGAGGGATATAGTCCCCACTGGCCAGAGCCTGCTCCTTCAGGCGGGCATTCGGGAAGGCGAAGTCCAGCTGGTTCCAGTTGTACCGCTCCTGGAGCTTATAGGCCGCCCACGAGGGCGTGGCCAGGGCGATCAGGGTCACCAGGATCCATCCTTTGTCCTGAAACATGGCACTAAACTCTTGGCTCTGAACAAACACGACGATCACTCGGGCCAACAAATGGATTGGCAAAAAAAAAAAACAAAAAAACAGCGAACTTTAAATGAAATGTTCTCAAGGAGGTTCTTAAGTTAGTATCTTGGTATCTTAGTATCTTTAAGATATCTGTTTAATCCTCTTCTGTGGACCGTGGCGCGCTTACGACTGTTGGCCACAATATGTCGGCCACGTTTTATATGAGGTTTTTTTTCTCCGAAGACGAAGGCAGGCCAATGAAAACGAAAACGAAGGCGCCAACTTCGGTGGTTTCAGTGATTCGGTTGTTTTCAACGGTTCGGGTGGCGGTGGTCCACTATATGATCTATTTGGTCACCCATGGATCGGCCAACTTCGGATACTTATGTTTTTTTTTTAGTGCGTGGCTTTTGTCTTCAGTGATTGATTTTCACGCGTGTTTAATAAATACAAGTATCTCAAAACTCCGAATTCACTGAATCAGCCAACACCTTTCGCCGGACTTGCCATTTTTCATATAATTTTGAAAGGGTATGGTTTTTGGCACACCGAATTCTTTGAAATTCCTGGCCTTCATCTACATTTAGGATTTTGCTGATTTATGTGCAAATCAACTACAAAACATTAGGTTCACTTACAATGGGTGGGGGCATTTTTATTTTACTTTTTTACTAAGGTAACAAATTATGGATTATTAAGGGTTAATTTAAGGTTAATATATGCGTTCATCTAAATTCCCTTCAAAAGAATTTTTAAAAGGCGACTCATTTTTAAATGGATTTTAAATATGCAAAGTTTATATAAATTAAATCTAGGGCAACAAAAAATAGCTAGTGCACTTAACTATAATGTATGATTTGTATGTAAGTAAACCAGATATGGTTATGAATTATATATTAGTATAATGCTTATGGATACAGAGTATTCAGAGCGGGTATTTCTTGTACAACATTAAATATGAATTACTTGGGCTGGCTTCGAATGGTTTAGCTTTGATTTCGATTGGGCAGCTCCGATGATTCACAATTCAGCGAGGGTCAAACTATTGGTTTCCGCTAATTATGAGCAGGTGATTTTTAGCATATTTATCGCACATACAATTCGAGAGTTACATAAGGCCGCCAAAATTAAAGAAGTGCGTTTCGGTAACTCCACTCAACTGACTGTAATTTGCAATGCTGTTGTGGTCCCTGTGGACCACCTGGATTTTAGGGGCGCCCTAAGTGGGTTTTGCTCTAATGGCCATCGCCGCAAGTGAATGTGAAAACTCGAAAAAAATCCGAAGGCGTTCGCATAACTCTTTGGCCCAACTGCAGCTGGTTAGGAAAAAATCTAAAAAAATAACGTTATACCACACGCATAATGAACGAACCAAATAGGTAAAGATACGTTTTACGACCTCAGCTGATGAAGTGGTTTGCATTAATCTGGAGTCCCACAATCTACACTTTGGCTAAGGAAAATCTTTCAGAAAAATCGCAAAACAAGTATTATTATTTGATAGGTGCAACTAAAGTCTGAGTAAGTCTAGGAAAAACAAATATATTTGGAGACAATTTCGTAACAAGAATGGTGACAAAGAATTCGATTTGCCTAATAAATATCGTTCATTTTCTTTTTTTTTTAATTCTACTTAGAACACTTAATAAAAAAAACCTGGTAAACATTATGAATGATACTTCTGAAAATATTTTTGAATTGTTTTCCTCGTTTTATTCATTCTTGGCATTTGTTTTCGCTGTTTATGCTATGGTAATATTATGCAAAATGCGAAAAAGCTGTGTGGTGTGCGGAAAAGTGGTTTAACTTGATCCCTTGGCCGCATTCTGGACTTCGGCTCACCCACAGAAAAATGAACCGAGACACGCGGCAGCCGAAACTATGTTGCACATAATTACGACTAATGCTGCTTAAATTTATTGCGATCGGCAGGTCCATAAAAAGCCACGGCTAAAATAACCAGTACGCTTTTATTAATTAATTGTGTGTGTTTGTTGCATAACGCAGCCGAGTATCCACTGAAAGCGCAATTAATGATGCGATCGCCAGCAGCCGTTGAACCTATAATTTAAATCGAATTGACTCGTTTTTCTGTTTTTCATATCCATTTTGATTTTGATTTTGTCGTGTGGGATGCTATGTTTGTTTGCGTTTGTTTTGGGTTACACTTTTCAGTTTTCATTTTTCAGTTTTCGCAGATTTCAGCAGCGATGATTTATACGCGCTTTTCCCAATAATTGAAACGGGTTTGTCTTTGCGCCAGCACGCGAAAAACAAAACATCATTATCAAGCGCGGCGCACTAAGTGGCCAAAAAAATATAGTAGCAGCGGAACATGATAAAAAAAAATTAAAAATAAATAAACGAATCTCTTTGGCATAATTGCCACACGATTATGCAACCGGCATGCAACATTAGACATTACTTACACACAGGATCACTGCGACTTAGGCGGAAAATGAAGCGAAAACCAAGCGAAATGCCGCATGACATTGCCCGGCCCGTGTTTCATGTTTTGTTTTCCTTTTTTCCCACTTATGGCAGCCTGAACATTTTCCTTTTTATTTTCTCCCCCCAGTTTGGATTTCCATCTATCATTGGCAAGTGGAAAACCTGTTGCCAAACTCCCCTAACCTTAGCCAAAGACACACCACCGCACAGCATTTGTCGTTCGTTAAACACAATGTTTTAAGCGCTTTCTGCGTTTTCAAGTTCAATGTCCATGGCCCTGACCGCCGGATCCCCTCTTCTTATCTCCCAGCCGGATTTATTTGTCTTGGCCAAAATCAGACAGGCCGCAAAGAAAAGATTTCCTGCTCACAGGCACCCATCGCAAATGTCTCGGTTTGACATGCACTGCGCTAAAAATCAACCAGTTAACCATCTTCTTTAATTAATAAATTTATTAAAAATGCCCTTAAACATAACATCTATTATATAGAAAAGATATAACTTTATGGTGTACTAAAAATGATTACCACAAAACTATTGCCCAATATATGGTTAGAAATCAATTAAATGGATTAAGCAATTTGTAATTAACATTAAAATACAAGAGATCGCCTTTTTGTCTATTTTAATAGTCAGCGGGGAATTCGATTAATTTATTCAAGCCAAATGCAGAGAAATTTAGATCTCTCCATAAGTGTGTTTTAGCTCAGAAAATTGCATCCTTAAACGGAATAATTAGATGCCAATAAAAGGCGCTGCTGCGTTCACTGCGCAAAAAACTAAGCAAATAAGTGAATAGAGGTTGCCGTAATTTGATTTCGGTGTAGACATGCCCCAAAACATTGCCTCAGACATAATTTGCCTGCAATTGCTGCGGTGCACTTGTCTCATGCAAGCGGAAAAATCCGTGGTCGAGAAAAGCTTAATAGTAATAGCTTTTCCGTGGTCTGCATAAATCTGCGGACTGCATTCGAAATTTATGAGCAACTCGACGACTTACTTATCTTAAGCCACCATCGGTTGCATTTCTTATGGGTCTTTAAGTTTACTCAGCGTGGTAATCGGGCAATTATCGATTAATAATCGCCCGATCTCCTCAAGGCAAACATTTCCATTAGTGGCGGTCCGAGAAAACTATAAGTAAGTAAATGAGATTGATATATGATATATATTTCGCATTAACTGGTTCACTGTTCATCATCCCGTTTCGCTGCATTGATTTATCAAAAGTACAACCACCACATTTGCCAGCAGTCAAAACATTTATGGACCACAATTTGTAGCTTTCAATTAAAATAACTAGATGGAAAATATTCATAAAGAAGCACTTACTGAAACTGGGTTTATAGGTTTAAATAAATTTCGTTAGGCGTATTTATAGGTAAGCGGGAAAATATGCATAAAAAGCAAATACCTTCTGAACTAAGGATAATTGAGCATTAAACAAATCGAACTGGCTTTGTGGGTTATGAATAAGTTGGTTTCGAAATTTGCGGTGGGTATTTATAGGTCGAAATTTTACGGATAGAAAATTATAGGTATATTTTATAGATTTACTGGGTGGCAAAATAAACTTGACATATAAATTTAAATTTAATAAAAGTAAGATATATGTTTAATGAAGTTTCTCAAATTAAGTAAGACCATTTAGTATATTTAAGTGTATAATTAAAATTAGTAGGTATTATTTAAAAATAAATTAAGTAAAATAATTTAATATATTTAAATGTAATATATTAATAATTATTATTTACATTTAAACTAAGTAAAACCATTTACTATTTTTAAATTTAATATTTAATTCATTATTATTATTATTTCAATTTTAATTTCAATTTTATAAAATATACTACATGATTTTATAAGGAACCCTTCCCTCCATTTATTAACATGGTATATGATATTATGGATGACATGGGTTTATTGATTAAAGAACACAATAAATTCTATTTAATTTTAATATAATAAATTAATAAAAAAAAGTAAGCACAAAACATTGTTGAAATCCTTTAGAACTTTCTAGTTCCACCACCATGGAGGAGAAGCAGTGGTGTAGTCGGCCACGTTGATATAGTCCTGCTGGGCGCCTTCGGGCACAGATTCGCCCAATTCCGAATTCTCGACTAAGGACTCATCCAAATCTTTGGCCTCCTGGGGCTTAGCACTAGCCAGGGAGCCCATGAAGGCGAAGATGAGAACCAGTCCCAGGATAATTTGTTGGAACAGCTTCATGTTTGAAATACTTTTGGACTTGTTGTGAGTGAAGAAAGTTATCAACTGCTGGCTTTTATAGTCCAATTTCGAAAATCGGAACTAGAACTCAGGTGTTTTGCTGCGTATTTTCCGGCCAGCATTGTTTGTCTTTTCACATGCCCAAGGAGAAAAAACTGGGCTATGTTTGCTTTTATACTTTTGGCACGAGAAATTGAGCTGGTCAGGGTTGGTTTTTTGTATCTCCACATTTTTTTAGTTGCTACTGAAATTGAGATGTGCGTGCTACGATTATTTTTTTGCTGCTAGACGAACGTTTATTGATTTCCTGGTGAAAAGCTGCTGCTGCTGCTGCCACTGTCGCTTTTGCTGCCAATTAACTTGCTAAAGAGTTGCAATCCTAGCCCGGGTTGCATTGAAAACGTCACAGCCATGTCGTCTTGTTTTGGCACTTGCCTCGCCGCAATTAGTAATCAATTAAAAAGTATTTAAATTGCAACAGCTAAGTGACTGTTACCTGGCTTCCTCCTGGGTAATGGTATCACTGGCCATTTGGAAGCGCTTCTGGGAAGATACGTTGGCACTTCCGGACATTAAAAACAAAATAAAAATGGAAATGAAAATAGGGGCTTACACCATCTAATCATTAAATTTCATAATTATTTTCCTTCACCTAAGAACTGAAACGGAAAAGATGCATCATCTATGAAAAGTTCCAATTATTAAAGTTGGGCAATTATCAGCGGGAGTGATTGAACTTGTCCAGGGTTAAACATCGATTGATTGCGGTGAAACGATCCCCGCTGCTTTTTCGAGTGTAATTAGCTTATTAAGTTCTCATTCTTTTTTTTTTTGGCAATGTGAAGGACTGTGTGCCGAAACCCAAATTGTAAGCCTCTAGTTATGCATAAAAACTGTGCCTTTGTCTTGACCAATTAAAACTTTAGCGATAGGCAACTACATAAATATTATTATAATTATCAACTGAAGCTGAACCGGCCGAAGCCAACAAATTTTTGTTTGAACAACTGCTGCTAAACGGAGTTCTAAGTGGGGTGGTGTAGTTTTTTATTTATTTTTTTGGTGCTTTTGATGGAATTACCAGCTGGATGGGTAGGTTTTAGCCAAGCTAAACGACCGACCTTGTGTTTCTGGCCACGCTCTGCTTCCTCGAGTTTTGACGACACGCCGTCCAGAAAGTGCACTGCACATACAGAAAAAAATATGAGTTACCAATATTGTCGATTTAGCAAGTCTTCAATCCGAATAAGAAGAGCGAGGGGATTCTTCACGCCTAAAAATATATAAACAATGTCAATATCTATTTGATCTGCAAATTTTCAACGCATTTTGGCCAAGTTTTCAGATAGGAAATGAGTTTGGCCCACAATAACCAAGAAGTCGAGAGTTCCGCTTTGACTTTTCGATTGCTTTTTTTGGGGGCGATTACGCATACGCCCCGGTGTCAAGGCTAACAATGATTTGCTCTAAAAAAAATGTACGCAAAGCAGCAATGAATGTACTTCTAGCATTGAGTTCAATTGGATAGCAGAAACAGGAAAAAAGGGGTATGTCTGATATGGTCGAAGTAGGCAGTACTCTTTATTATAGAATTAATTATAATCAATACATTGTAAAATGAAAGGTAAACCATACGTCTCTTAAAAAAATATATTACAATATTTTTACAAAATAATCGTATACTCATTTTTCATAAAGGTATCAAACCCTTCAAAAGGGTATGAAAAACAATACGAAATAATTTGCCAATTGGTTTCCAAAATAAGCAAATACCCGAGTGACTTAGTGACCCACCACTCCCCGTTTATACTATTGGCTTGTTGGCCCTCTGCCCACAAGGCTGAAACGGTTTCGATTCCGTTAGCGATACTGCCAGCAATGCATCCATCCATCAATCAATCAATGCTAACATTTCACTTTGCGATCGTTTCGGATCGAATCAAAGCAAACAAATTGAGCCACAAAGCACGGGCCAAAATCGCCTGTCATTTCTCAAGTTCCGATCGGAACCGGTTCGCTGTGGGCTAACTATACGGTTATAGAATGGATCAATGGGGTTTCCAAATCGTTAATCCAACACCTTGTACCACCTGCTATTTCATTTCGATCAAGTTTACCTGATCACGCTGGGCAAAACTTTAGTTCAAAAGCTATTGGCAAAATGGTAAGTGTCTTTGGCTTTACAAGAAAAGCTTAGGAGTGAATGGGTTGTGTATGGGAATCAATGGTTAGGTAAATATCTGGTAAAATTTATAAGTTACTGTAAAATGTAGGAAAGTTTATCTGGTAAAAAGAAGACTTTTTTTTACAAGAGAGCTTACAAAAATGGCTTAAAAATATATATTTATTTTACATCTGAGTACTTAAAAACAAAAAAAATAATGATATTTTCTACAATTAAGTCAGGATATCTATAGTTTAGTTGTACCACCAAGGAGAAGGAGCGGGTGTATAGTTGTTCACATTGAGGTAATCAGGATTGCCTTGAATTACGGTTATCGTCGTGGGCACAGCCCAAGCTCGACCCTCACTCTTCTCAGGATCTTCGGGATCTGGCAAAATCCTCCTTCGATTCCATCTCAATCTTTTGCTGTTCGGCCGCTGTTTCAATGTATCCGAATTGGGGACTTTAATGTTTTCCTGTACCCGCTGACGTTCGAGCTCATTTATGGCCTCCAAAATTTGGTTCAACTGTTCATCGCCTTCCTTCAAAAGGCTTTGGGAACTTTGCTTTTCACTTTTAACTCCGGTTGAGAGAATAGTCACTGCGACCACAACAACAAAAATAATCCACTGACTCGACATAGTGCTGAACTCGTTCTAAAGTGTTCTCAAAGAATTATCCACATATTTATACTCCACATGATTAGCCAACTAACAGATAAACAGATAAGCTACATCTGTTGATATTGCATCGATTATTCTTGACATCGTTCGGTTCTGTTTGTAGAAGCCCAACGTCTTACGTAATGCTGGGTAAATGTTTGGGCAACATACAAAACCAGAGATTAAAGATATAATAGAAAGAGATCGCGCAATCAAGGTTAAGTTCAATATTTTAGGGTTAAGATACGATTTCAGTAAGAATCTAAAGATCATTTTATATATTTTTTATTATATATAATATATATTACAGTGAAGCAGAGTTATGAGCTGATAAAGAGCTTACCTAAGATCAGATCCCAAATATGTATCCACCTTATCGCAACATAAACAACAAAATGCCACTAAATAAATTTTCATGTTTTTCCTTTCGTTTTTATTCAATATAATTAAAAGTCGTTTTTGTTCATAATTGTATCTCAGAAAAAAAATATAATAATAATTGTATCTGCTATGCACGCGTCGATTGGGATGCGTGATCAAAGGAAAAAGGATTGGGGCAAGGTCGGGGTATACAAATAGATATATATATATATCGTAGAGAATATATATATAAGAGGGCACAGTATTGTTCTTTTTTTAGGGGTTTTTGTGCTTAGTGGTCTACGAGTGGCTTGGATCTCCTCGTTTTTGGGCTCGCTCCATGTATTCCGATTTGGTGACTTTTTCTCTTGGCGCAAGGAGGGATCTTACTTACATAGTATATCCGCATTTATCAGTAGTTTAATTAGTGTAATATGTGTACAAAGCTAACGAGTCCTTGGGGGAGGAGTACGAGGAGGAGGAAACTTAAAGGACGTACATATATCAAACAATTTGTAAGAGTTATTATCGCTTGTGAGGGCCATCATCCCAAGTTTTTTTTGTTTTATAGGAGTTACAGCTGCGAATCGTGACGAGTATTCTATTCAGGATTCAATGGGGCGGATGGCGATGTGTGTATAGGGTTGGATTCGATTGGATTGGAGTGGATTTACAGGATCGTTCCGGGCTTGCGGAGCGGCAGACGACGACGCTGACCCAAGAGTCCCAGTCCACGGGCCTGCTGTTTGGTGGTGGCCTCCGTCGCCTCCGTGGTTTCCTGCTCCTGCTTTCCGGCTCCCTCTCCGGCGGACTCGTCGCTTCCTCCGGCGGACGCCTCCTCCTTGGCGGGCTGCTCCGCGGAGGAGTCCGGCGATGAGTGCTCCTCCTCAGTGGGGGATTCTGTAAAATAATGCAAATCAATTAATACATGTTACCCATTAGGTGACCCAAACAAATCCGTTTATTGGATCTATTGCAATCGCATTTTAAAGTTATATACATGATAAAGATTGTGATTTGATTCTTTAAACATCTGCTTCACAAAATTTAAGTTCCATTTTCCAAAATTTGTAAAGGATTGCAAATTGGTGACCCAAAACTATTCTTCTAAAGGTTACAACTTGTCCATTCACATTCCAATTTGTAAGTTTCATAACTCTAAAACAGTGTGATTTTATTCTCTAGCGATTCCCTATACATTTTTTAGTTTTCCATGACTGATTAAAAAATTGGTGACCCCAACACCCTACCTGTAGTGGAGGTGGCTCCCAGGTGGAGTCGTCGCTTGGCCAGCAGGGGATTGATCTTCCTGGGCGCTGGGGCGGGGGCTGCGGCTGCCTTGGGCTTGACCGCATCAGTCTTGTGCGTTAGGGCGTTGAGGCGTGGCCGGGTCTTGAGGCGATTCAGCCCGGAAACGGGGGCCGCTGGAGCGGCAGCGGCGGCGGAATCGCCCGCCTCGTTGGCTTTGTCACCGGCCTCGCCGCCCGCCTCCTCCTCCTTGACGTCATTGTGATGGCTAGTGCTATCGGCGGCGGAATCCTCGGCCGCTGGTGCTTCCTTGGGCGCCTCCGTGCTGACTCCCGATCTTCCCAGTTTGCCGCGGGGCAGCAGGCGATTGCCGCCGGCGCGGTGAAGGTTGAAGCGGGACGGACGCACTGGCTCCGCGGAAGAAGCCGCTGGAGCAGCCGCTGCGGACTTTGCCTCCTCGGAATTGGTGGTGGAACCATTGTCAGCCGCCGCCTCACCACCCTCTGAACTGGCGGGTGCCTTGGTGGTGGTGGTGCGACTGCGTCCACGTAGTCCCAATCCGGGAC